CAGTCTCTCACTATGGTGAAAATAAGGATTTGGAGCCACCTGAAACATGGAGTTAATCACTTCAGACATCAGTTTCCTCACTGTGTCATAAACGAGACTAGTAATTCTTACCTAGCCTACCTCCAGGATTATTATGAAACTCAAATGAGACAATCTTATAAAAGTACTCTATAAGCTATAAAATACTTTATACCCATGGTGATGATGGCTAGAAGGAGTCTCTCAATAGTTATTTAATCTCTTTCCTAGAGATGCTTGTTACCAAGGCCTGTATCTAGCTGGCTGGTGTCTTCCACACACAGCTTCATTACCTGAAAATTATTTTCAGCATTAAGAATATCAACTATTCAAAGTCAGAAGTATTTCCTGTCTTTGTTTGACATACAGGCGTACCTATAGAAATAAGTATACAAATACAGAGAGATATGTATGTACAATAGAAAATTTTGCAGAAAATATCTAGAAGGCATCATCCTACATCGATCAGAAGGACTATTAATTAAAAGACAAAAAGTAACAGATATTGATGAGAATGTGGAGAAAAGAGAACACTCTTACTCACTGTTGGTGAGAATGTACATCGATGCAATTTCTATGGAAAACAGTACAAAGATTTCTCAAAGAACCCAAAATGGGCCTACTGTGTAATCCAGCAATCCCACTTCTGGGTATTTACCCAGAGGAAAAGAAGTCACTGTATAAAGAAGATACCTGCACATGTGTGTTTATTGCAGTGCTGTGCTCAGTAGCCACAATATGGAATCAACCAAGTGTCCATCAGCAAAGGATTAGATAAAGAAACTGGAAAATGTGCTGCAGCTGTGTTGCGGCAGAAGACACAGCTTCATTCTTTTCTGACGTGGTCCACTTATTCTTGACAGCTGAGCCATATTCCACGGTGTACACGTTTTTAGATGGAACTAGAGGCCATTATCTTACGTGACACAACTTTGGCCCAAAAAGACAGATGCCACACGTGAGAACTAAATGATGTCTACACATGGAAGCTGAATAAGTGCACACATGGACGCAGAGTGCAGGGTGGTGGATAATGGAGACTGGGGGCTGGGATGGGTGGCAGTGGAGCAGATAATAGGAGGATGTGCTATCACACATGGTACCAATGTATGTTGCTCCTGTGATGGATGCACTGAAGGCTTTAATCTCACCACAGTGCAATGCGAGGTCTGACAATTAAGTTTGCAAACTCATCCTTGAAAATGTGTTACACACCTTATGGCTGACTATCACCTTCTAAGCCCTCCCCTTGGGAAGCTGGGCACTGACACCTAGTGTACTCTCCAAAGCCATTTTGGAACTCTTTCTCTGAAATGACAATAATGAACACCACTCGGCAAGACACCACCGAGGTCTTGAATGAACACAGCTGTGAGACTGATGCACCACAGTCATGAAAACCTACTGAGTTGTTTATACGGTTGTTTATACAATGCACTTGGTGGCCAGTCTACAAACTTAAGTGTCTGACCTCATATGGTGACAGCTCTGATACATGTACAAATAAAAAAGTGAATAGAAAAAAAATAAAAGAAAATATCTAGAAGAATACACACTAAAAAAATGCCTACCTCTGGGAAAAGTTTGAGGCACAGATGGAGGTGGAAGTTCTTTTGGCTTCATATGCATGTATATTTCTATAATATTTTTTCAAACAAAGAACTACATTTAACTAAAAATATTAATCGAGACCAACTCTCTTTTCCAGCAGCTAACGTCTTTAAATCCTGCCATTTACTGATAATATATTTGCACGACACTTTCTTGTGTTTCCTCTATTTAGGTGTTTCCCATACTTGTTTATTTTCTAACTTACAGAGCCTGTGGCTACCCTGACACACGTTGACT